CCAGCTCCCCCCCCCCCCCACCTAATTAACCTAATTTACTTGACAATTAGTATAATATTGTACAGAGATCACTTATGTTATGGTTAGGAATAATAGCGTATTGAGCGATTTATCCGTTTGGATACATAGAAATAAAAAATATAAAACAAAAATAAAAAATAAAAACCATGTATGTTTGTAGCGTAAGTATGAGAGTTTGTGACTATTAGCATGGCTGCATGTATGTCTGTGAATATTTATGAGATAATTTGGAGTAATTGTTCAGTATCTGTGTATGAAACAATTTGAAGATATTCCACGAGTCTATTTTTACATGACCATCTGCTGACTTCATAAATAGAAAATTTTTGGTGTAATTTATTATATAAATATCACGCAGAGAAACTCCGAGCATAGCCCTCTCCAAAGCTCGCTAAGCGAATTTGAGCTTTACGGACAGTAGTAAAGGACCATGTTTCAGATACGTAAGTTATCACTTATCACTAGCAACAAGCACTGGTTATACAATCGTGTTTTCAAGTTTTAAGGTATACTTGACGTGAAGATATGTATGTCGTAATCTCCCGAAAGCTGCCCAAATCCGATATTTTAAAAAATATCAACAGTCCTAGTTTGAACTGATCAGTTGGAAAGAGTTGAACTGACCGTCTGTGGCGCCCATAAGGGAAATAACAGCACGCCGCCAGCTACCGCGTTTTTTTAAAGCCGAGTATTCGGTAGAGTACTCGGCCAAGTCTAGGCCGAATACTCGGTGGCCGAGTACTCGGCGAATCACTACTCGTTCTATGTCTACTCCCAACGGCATAAGTGTGACGTGGACGTTACATATATGATCTTTGTTTTGTTCATGTTCATCTTAAGACCTACATGTTGCGTTGACTTTTTATTAAAAGTTAATTTTTTAAAATATAATACTGTTAATATGCGATAACTTGTTTAAGTTAGTATTTAGAGATTTTCGTGATTTGGTGATTTTCTTTTTAGGTACTAAAGCAACATATTATTGTGAATACGGGTCATTTTGTTTCACTAATATAGAATTTGCTAATAACAGTGATATTTAGCACAACCTCAGATCATAGAAACGACAGTTGTTTCTATGATCTGAGAGCACAAATATGAACCATTGTCTCGAAGACCTCAATTGATCAGAAGTTACACGATCACTAACAGATGCATCAACGATTATAATTATATATTTAATATGATTACTAGGTCGTAGGACTTTTCCACTTAGTAGGTCATCTGGGTAAGTACCACACTTTTACCTATTCTAAATGCCTAAATAACAGTAACTGCACTGCTGTATACAGGTTGGGAGGCACTATTGAAAGTCATTGAGGATAGAGTTTTTAAGTCCTCCAGCGACTCTGCTATAAGGACCATATCGTCAGTAAATCGCAAGTGAGTGATTTACTGGCAATTCGTATTAACACCGTATGTTTTCCAGTCCAATAACTTGAAAACATCTTCCAGTGTAGCAATAGTTTCGGAGAAATAACTTCACCCTGTCTTACAACTCTCTGCAGTTGGATAGGTTTCGTATTCGAATAGCTATCGTAGTCCTACTTACAAAAACTTCAGCACTTCGACATACCGACAGTCAACTTGACACCGCTGAAGGGGCGGTGCTACAGACCGCCCAAATTTCGACGGAATCAACAGCTTTCTCATAGTCCACATACGCAAGGCATACTGGCAGATTGTACTCTTCGTGCAATTTGTACATTCTATACAGTTTGGTATCTATGTGGTCTATAGGACTAAAACGTTTTCGGTAACCGGCTTGTTCAGAAAGCTGGAAGTCGTCGTAATGTCTCTCGATAACAGTACGGAGCGACGGCTCAGAGGGGCAATCGGTGTGTAGTTCTTCAAGAGAGCGTTGGGCTTTGGATTAGAGCACGAGAGGGACGGAGCGTTGACTTCATTAGACATGACCTCTCCAATTTAACGTTCAGTGTGCCTCTGACCATTCGGTGATGGTTATTGCTGAAACATCACTGAACAGGTGCCATCTAGTCATCTTAATGAAGTCTCATTTTTATCGAACCGTCGTCGCTCGACCAGGTACATTTTCCATTAGGGGCCTGTCCTGAAGGAAGAGTTCATCATAAAGAGTCCCCCTTTCTCCATGAAGTCGGCCAGCTGCTGGTCCCTTGGAATCCGTTACCCTATTTCGAAGCTCCCTACCTTCAGCTCACCGTTCTCTCTTGTCCATAGACATCTACATCTATGCTCGATTACGAATCAAAATGCAGATGCGTTGTCAGCCGTGAGAACTAAGATGGAATGCCTTGTTTCCAGTAAAAAGGGTCTCCGGTGCTCTACACTCACCATACTAGTCTAGTTTTAGGTTGAAGTTCATCATCATCATCATCATTACAGCCCTTCACATATTCCACTGCTGAACATAGGCCTCCCCCAAGCAGTGGCGAAGCTTCCATTGAAGCCGAGAAGCCGGGCTTGCCTTATTAAACCTGAAGCAATCAATAATATAGATCAATAATATCAACTAATAAAATAACTCGTAAAATGTTTCAAGCTATTTCAAATTTCCCGCGCACTCCACTGTTCGACACATGTCGACCGATGACCTCGTATTGCCTTCGATACTGCTGCTGTCATAAAAAATGAGTTTTAATAGAGCTAATAGTTGTCTCCCTCGCTCGCGTGGGCTTTTTACGGGGCTTTCGAGAAGACGATCGCTCTCTTTCTAACCTATGGCAAAATACTCTATAATGAAATATAACTACGATTGTACATATAGCAATTAGTATAGAGATTTAAAGCCAGGCTTTTGGGAAGAAATTTGTTAAAAGCGGAGGCGCGTGGGCAATACGTTTGCAAGTTCATTTCACGTTTCAATGTTTATTTACTCTGTGTGCTTATCTTAAGCGATTTAATATTAAGAGTTCAAAATTTATGCATTTTTTAAGATTTTTAATGAAAATGGAGGATAATAGTGTTCCTTGTGATGAATTGAAGTGTGTTAAAGTGATAATCGGAGAGGAAATCTTTAAACTTTGTTGAGATAATACACAAGGTTAAGAGTGTATTTCAGACTTATCAATTATCTCAATTAAAAACAGTTATTGGTACAATTAAAACGTTCACCAACATATTACGTGGACGTAATTAAAAATCTTTCCATAAGAAAGCGAGACGATTCCACTTATCTTATCTTATCTCTTATCCATTAGAATGTAAATAATTTTTTTTTAATTTTGTACATAGTTTGTACTTTGTTCGTGTTTTACTTTTGTTCATGTATTGTGTTAGATGTAAATATTTTTTTTCTTTCGCTTAAACAAACCCAAACGGCTTTCTTCAAAGCCACCGAAGCTATGCAATTGCTGATATGTAATACAATCTATCTAGCAGTGGTATGCCTTCTGTGTGCTTTGTTAAACACGTCCTTGACAGCACTGAATATGAAACTGAAGCGTGGAGACAGATCAAGATTGGTGTATTTTTATAAAACTGTTAAAAACAACAATCTATATTTCTATAAATTTATATCTTGGGCTTGCCCTAGCTTGGAGCTCTAGCTTCGCCACTGCCCCCAAGGTATGCCACAAAGGTTGAAGTTCATTTACACTTTATAGCGGGTTTTGGAGGAGGCTTGGCATGGCTTTAGAGATATCCTTATACATTTCCACCACCTTCTCATCGGGATGTTACAAGATTGGTGCGTAAGCCCATATGACCATCAGCGAATAACGTTCGGTTATTCGGAGTATAAGGTACGCAACCCTAGTCGACAGTCCCAATCTTTATAACATTGTTACAGGGACAGAATTTTCGTTAATAAAACGTTTTCAGCAGCTTTTAAGGCGTCAAAATGTTTCTTTTTTCAGTCTAAAATCTAAATCACTCCAGCAGTGGAAAATAACCTCTCCGACGCTACGGGACGATGGTTTGATAGACAGACATTTTTTTACATTAACTATTGGGATAAATTTCTTTGAAAATAATTTAATAATCGCTACATAATCGCAATGATAATCGACGAATACTATTAATCGTAAAACAACGATAATCAGCGATTACGATTTATCGTAATCACTAAAAAAACTACATCCAGTTAAACTGGTTTGTTCGTCTTAAAGTATATAAGTATCGCATCTGTTAGCCTCTATTACTTAGGTTTTTGTTTTTAAATTTCAGAAATAATAAAAAAAAATTATTGTATTTAAAATCAATATTTACATTAAACGCTGTTGTGGAATGTATTAGCTTTTATATTGACTCTAAAAACTAGTAACATAGCTACCTACGGGAATCTTATCAAAAAGTTGTTGACAATAAATCTATTAGATAGGTACTGGAACTTATTTCACGTTGTTCATTGCTTTTTTGCAATATAATTAATTTAATTTATATATTCTCAAGATGTCTTTTGTTACCTTGTAGTGAATTCAACTTTACTACGTATTTGTGTTTACTAGTTATTATATTTATACAGTTTCCGAGTATGTACAAATAGATTATAGAAATACATATAGGAGTGTGAAGTAATTCGAACACACTATCGTTGTGCCACTTTTGTGACTACCATTGCCGTAGTTGCGACTCATTAAAAATCAAGATTGCACCGATGACAGAAATGTTCAAACGCGCCACCTCTTACACGTTTAAGTTACAATAGGAATAAAAAAAAATAACGTATTAAAGCTAAAAGTAAATTATTAACGGTGCGGCCTTGAAATTTCAGTACAAATGTGTATTATGTCAATAAGTGTGTCGTGGTCGCCATCGCAATTGCTACGTATATTTCTTATTGATTATCTCAGAAAGTACACAAGAACATTAATATTTCAACTTCATCAATAAATATTTCCCACACGGAAACATTAAAAGAGCGATATCAATAACTATGATAACATTGTGGTTGACAGATCATAACCGTAGCTGTAAAGTCAACGCGCACAGAGTAATGGTTAAAAAAGACAGCTGTTAGAGTAGATGGCGCGTCGAGCACAGAGTGCTCCCGGTCGCGGATGCAGACACCCACCCTTGCAGCGGGAGTTGCGCCGGCCGCGCTCGGTTGGACGATCGCTCATCGCGAACGACTCCTTGAAATGCATCTTCCAACTCCGCTCCGCACCCCATCCACATGCACGTGTCTCATCAGCACACCGGAACACAATCTGCACACTCTCACGGGCACGTCACAGTCAGATTTTACAACTGCGGTACCGTCAGTCGCGCCGCAAGCTTTTAGAGTTCGCCGGAATGTGACGCATTCTCGATTTCAACCGAGTGTCGACGGCGATGTCGGCGACTTAACAACACGTAAACGTTTCATTAGGCGTAAACCGATGCGACAGTCAGCTTCGGGCGTGGACTGGCGCGCGATGCGAGCGGCCGCCGCCGCCGCCTCCGCCGCGAGACCGGACTTCGCGTCTCGGAGCGAGGATACGGGAATCGGCTTCGGCGCAATACCCGTCACGAAAATAATAGGAACAGCGAGTGCACCTCGGAGGCGCGACGCGGCGCGGTCGGTGCGAGCGAGACGCGGATAAACACCACACTGTTTACTTACGGTGTTCGAGAGCGGGGCGGCGCGGCGGAGGGGGGGGGGCTATCGCGTGCAATCCGCGCGCTGCAATTACTGCCTCTACTCCACAATTTCATCCCAACATGGATACCCAAATAAAACAACAAAAAATAACTAACTAAACCTCATAGTTAAACCGAGTGTTATACGCATGACACCTGTTTGCCAAAAATTTATCGCAGGTTGGTTGGTGTCGACTTATACCCTTTGATTACATACTTTTATACCATTCGAACACAATAAGAAAATGCTAATTTTAAAATTATCTGTAGATTATAATAATTTCTACATTTAGTGCATAGACATTATTTGTTTATAAAAGGAATAAATCTAGGTGCAAATTAACATGGTTTAGTTCATTATTGGATTGAAGAGGAATCGTACATCAAATAGAATAATAGAATGTTAAGTAGTGAGGCAGTTTGACGATCAATCGGCGAGCTGTGCATCGAGCGGTGGTGACTGCATTCCGACGCCCTGCCCGCGTCCCGCAGATCCTCACCCCGCGTCCTTCCGGCGCTTGTCACGTGACGTGCCGATTAGGCGGCGAGTGTGCCACCGCGACCAAAATAGAGCGTGCACACAATCTCACATAGCGTTCAACTCCACTGGCTCTCACGCCTCCTCTCCGTCTGTTGTCTGACGTTACTGAGTGCCGTAGCCATGGTTAGCCGTTTACACCGGTAATCGCTGAAGCTCATTCCCTTTCAGTTTACAAGCGAATAATAAATTGATACGAGCAGCGAGCAATAACATTTTAGGTCTATGCTGATAATGGATTGGATCATACAAAAACCAGAACGATAAATATAGAGTAACTTAAATAGACCGAAAAAGGACCGTTTTAACCGTTACACCTAATAACCATTGATTTTTAATCATAAGTACTTACATGTTTTCATGCGTCGTCGTCGATACATCGACCATTATTTTTACGATTCATCTCTCGACCTTGAATCGAGTTTCGATTTCCGTGAAGTGCCACTGGCCAGATGTCACAAAGAAATATTTACAATCCATTATTAAAACTAGTATTGCGCGGCATACATATTGTAAGCATTCGATGGGAAATTAACATAATTTAATTAATATGTAAAACGACCCTATATTGACAAAGGTTTCGTTGACGAAAATAAAAAATAATGGCACGCACCTAAATCTGGAACGCAGTTGAAGGCGGAGCGCCACAACCCGCTAGACTATCGGGTTCGGAAAAGTTGCTACGCGTCACGGGTATTATACGACTGCGGGTAGCATTATTCAGTGAAACGTTATCCACTCTTTTTGCTTTCGAGCGGGACGTACAGATTAAGTATTCGGATATGTCTATTTTAGTGTTGCCACGAATCTATCTAAAAACTTATTATTGAAACGTTGAAATTTAAATGTCACATGTTATGCTAATCCAGCCAAACAATTTTTAAGAAATCATATTAGAATCTCTAGTGATGATAGAATTTTAGTTTGAAAGAGCTTATGAGCTCTGTAATATTAAAGTCGGGGAAAATGTTTCTTTGTATTTATATACAAATTCAAGATTTTTTTTTTCTTCAGTTTAATTACTTATAAGAGCCGTGGTAGCTCAGGTGGTTAACGCTTGCTGTAAAATATAACAGAACGCGAGTAACCCGGGTTCAATCCCCGCCGGCACACCAATGAAATTGTTAATTGCAATTTTAAGTGCTGATTTACCACGTGCTCGGCGGTGAAGGAAAACATCGTGAAAAAACTTGCATGTCTGAGGAATAAGAAAAAAATATTTCGAAGACATGTGAAGTTCGCCAACACGCATTGGGGCAGCGTGGCGGACACTTCCTTGCCCTAAAACCCTCTCAGAAATGAGTAACTTAAAGAGTTTTTAAGAGATTTTAAGAGTAACTTTACTTAACTTTCAATTACATTATAATATATATATATATATATATATATATATATATATATATATGCGTCATTTTGTTCGATAACTTGTGGCCATCTAGTAGGTAGTGATAGGGATTTTTGATCAAAAAAATATGACAAGTAGTTTTGACAGTCCTCTCTTGATGTTAACCTAACACTCCCCAAAAAACTCTGAAGGGAACCGAAACAGGTGAAACTCTGAGCGTACACAAGGTCAGGACTATATGGCCGATGCATTGACACTTAACAACCAAGCTCTCTCAATTTTTGCTGAGTGGCCAAAGATATGAGTGGTCTGACGTTATCACGATGATATAGGTACCACTCTTTTTCTGTTGATCAATTATGCCCGTTTGCCTCATTTTATTGCTTGAGTCTCATTAGTAGTAGGCTAGACTAGAGATCCGAATCGAAGGTTTTACCCAGTGGTAAAAGCTCATAATAAACGATGCCGTTCCAATCCCACCATACAGAGCATCACTTTATTGCTTGTTAATCCGAGTTTCGTTACAGTCTGTGGAGTTTGATTACCCTTTGACCATGATTTTAGCATGTTCTTGACGTATGTGATTTTTTTTTCACACTTTTTATCACCGTGATTAATCTTTTTAAAAATAGTTCGGTTTTAATACGTTTAAATAGAGAATCATAAATGAGTACACGATTCATTAGGTTTCTTTCAGTGATACAAATATTCAGTGACTCAAATATCGCTTTTTTGTATAGCAAGACTTTTTCAAATGGGCCACAACTGTTTTGTAGTCAATCCTCAATTCTTCGGATATGTCTAACTACTGATATGTCGAACTTGCTCCAATTTTCAAAAATTTCATCGATTTTATCCGTATGAGGACGACCAGAGCGAGCTGCATCTTTGACACCGAAATTCCCGGACTGAAAATGCTTGAACCAACTTTGTGCCGCTCTTAATAAATAACACTGCATTATTCCATAAACGTCACAATTTTTTTTCGCGGCCGGAGTGGCATTTTTCATTTTGTAATAAAACTTCAGAATATTTCGAATTTATTCGTTAGATATACTAATTTTGCCAGACAGAAAAACAAATGATAAATGGCGGGAAAGTGTATTTTACTTTTTATTTTTTATTTTCTTAATGTCAAAACCAGACAGATACAAACAGTACAAAGAGATTTTTCGTCAATTTTATACAAACAAAATACGAAGAAACTTTTTTTCCCACCTATTACGTATATAATTGTGTTTAAAACGTGTTACTTGTTGTTAAATGTTTACAGAACATTTTCAGAATAAGGATAGGTTTTGTAAGAGAGTCAAAGAGAACTTTGTGTAAAACAGGAAAAGCATTTACGGATTTACTTATAAACTTATAATCATTGGTTATCGCTTATTTAAAGTAAGTATTATTTCATTCTATATATTATGTCTCCTTCTTTAAGCCACTTTAAGCGTTTTTATGTTTTATGATTTGTACGTCGGTACCGTGATCTTATTACGAGGGCGACTTAAGGGATAATATTTGCCAATATTATTGTGTTTGTATTTTATTAAATTGTCTGTGTCACGTCAGCATGAAGTTGTGATAGACTTCGATTGGCCTTTCACGATGACGACCCATCTCGTGCTACTGTTTACAACTAACTGGTTTAATAAGTTTAAACATGGTCGAACTAATCTAACCGATGATCTGCGTCAGGGACGGCCTTCTACGGCGACAACTGAAGATAACATCAGTGTTGTGCGGCGTATGATAGAGACTGACAAAAGAGTGACTTATCAGCAGATTCGGGCAAGCTTAACTTACGCTAGAGGAGCTGAGCGCGAGCTGAGCACAAGCTGAGCCGATCCACACGGGGTGTCAAGGTGGTGGACGTACAACGAGCCTACAACAATCACTGTCCTCGAACGTTGTTTTCCGCAGTGTGCTCGCGGCTCGTGGCGGATATAGAGGAGTTTGCTATTGCAGCAACCGCCGCTACTGCAGCGATAATTATAGCCAAAGTCAGAAAAAAAGCTGAAAGGCCAGGACGATGGGGTTCTACAAATTTATATAAAGACAGACCCAGTCAACAAAATTTACTACAGAAAACTAATAATTTTATGTTTGCATATATCTACATCCTTGCCCAAATCTTGGTATATACGAGACCATGCATCAAGCTTCTTATTTTTCTTTTATTAACAAACAATCATCCTCTGTCCACGTTTCCAAGATGCTCGAGCCAAACGTCTGTCACTCAATACGTTCACGAGCGCAATGCAAATCCCTCTGTGTTCGTCAAAAAGCAACAATAAGCGGAGCACAGTTGAGCACTAACCAAACGCTCGAAGCGCGCTTGTTCGAGGCTTGTAAGTCAGTCCACACTACACGAATTTGTGCTCAACTCATGCTCCGTCCGTGCTCGGTTCGTCTAGCATAGACCCACCTTTAGGCGTCGGTATGTGTCAAGTGCACAAAATCCTCCATGAACATTTAGCGGTCAAGAAGCTTTGTGTCCGGTGGATGCCTCATAATTTGACAGAGCCCCAAAATTTCCATCGTGTTGATTAGTATCCTGAAATGGTTCAAAGATTTAACGGAGGTTACTCAAATGCTGTGTTCGACATACTTACGGGTGACGAAAGCTTGATTTATTGTTATGATTTTGAAACTAAGAGACAGTCTACTGTCTGGGTGTTTCCTTCCGAGGAGTTGCGCCAACTAAATTGAAGAGAGGTCGAACCGTGGCAAAAAAGATGGTGGCCTCGTTCTTCAGAAGGACAGGTCATTACGCAACAAATGTTTTGGAGGATTTGAAAAACACTTACTGATGAGTGATACGCTAACAATTGTTTGCCAATAGTCTAGGAAAATGTTCGGCAGAAACGACATCACAATAGAATTCTCCTTTACCACGACAACACCTCGTCGCACACCGCCATCCAAATAATCGACTACATGGCGACGTCAGATGTGGAATCACTGGGTCACCCGCCATATAGCCCCGACGCACCTTGCGATTTCTATTTAATATCCGTAAATAAAAGAAAAACTTCGTTGCGATTTTTATTTAATATCCGTAAATAAAAGAAAAACTTCGTTGA